GAGCTGTCAGCTCAGGGAGATGATGATGAATCAGCGCGAGTTTGCAGCAGGATTATTCCTATAAGTTGTGCAGATATCTGGGAAAATGGACACTCGAGATGCTGGAATGGACTGCTGCTTGTGGAAAGGACCTGAAGGTACCCTAGCATCTGCTTTGGTTGCTCTGGAGCTCAGCAAGCACGTTAACCAAGGAAATTAATTGTTATTGATCTGTATTCAGTCCTCTATTGTTGCACACACACACTAGCTTAAGGAGCTTCCTCAGGTGCCTGACAAAATAAAAGCTATTTTCCAAGAAGAAAATCCACCTCCTGCTCACACCAGGATGACCAAGGGAGGAGACCCCACGGGCTGCAAGGCGCCTGTGCCATCCCGCCTCTACCTCTCAGCTCCCCAAACCCAGCCTCAGGTCCCCACTCTCCTGTCCTCCCAGAGAGCAGAGGGCACAAAAAGCAAGCAGCAGCCTGCGTCTCCGGAGGGCTCTGCTTTCCCACGCGGCATTTCCATGGGGAAACCATGGCGGGCTGATGAAGAGCAGCGCGCCTGGCCTGCCCTCAGCTGCTGCGCATTTCGTCTTCCCCAAGGAAACAGAGAATTTTCCTAATTAAGCATTAAAGTGATTCAATTATGAGGAATGCTCTCTTGTTGAGTTAAAACCCATCTCAGACGAGAGTGCAGCAAGGCTGTGGACAATTCTGGAGAGGTTTTGCTGACTGGTAGATCAGGAAGTATCGCGGCTCAGAAATGGGAATTTTTTTCCCTTAGGAAAAGTGCTGAATCGCAGCCTCTGCAAGTGTGGAAGACAATGGAAAAAAACAAGAGAAAACGAGGCAAATAGGAAAAAAAAAAGACACAGGCAGCTTCTTGAGCAGAAGCATACCCAGTCCTTTGGGCTGCCCGCTGCCCCAGTGCCTCCCAATCTACCACGGACAGGCAGAGGCTGGGATTTGTGCAATTAAACAGGACAGCTTTTGCCAATGCGGTCCTCACCCCCAGTCTCAAAGCCCTTGATGAAACTTGCTAATTGGCACGTCACGCTGCTCTGACTGACAGCTCTCAGGTCAGCATAGCCCCGTGTCAGCTCTGCGAGGCAGCTAAGCGCAAAGCGTCCCACATCCCCTGAAAGGCACATCATTATTTTTGTCTCCAAAACAAGCAGCCCCCTTCTTCTCCACGGCGGCAGCAGCCCTGGGTGCTTGTGGGGCTCAGTCCTGCCCCAGGAGGGGCTGTGGGTCCCAGACGGGGCCAGGCTTTGAGCACCTCATCCCCAAGGTTCAGCTAGAGGTGGCTGTGTGCCTGGTGGCACCAGGGGGACAGCCCTGTAGCTGCTTTCCCAAACAGGACTCAGCCCAGGTTCTCTCCTCCCCAGCCTCACCAGAGGAGGAGGAACAGAGCAAAGCCTCCCAGGCGTGCTCCCGGTGCTGCCTAACTGCCTTTCCCTGCAGGAACAGCGTGTGAGATCGGGGTGGGAGCCAAGGCTGCACTGACAACCCAGGGAATGCATGCACCATTTGTAATGTCCAGTGCGGACTCTGTTTTGGGAGGAAAAAAAATATGCAGACATCGTCTAGACAAATGTAGCCACCTTCCAGGCCCTCCTTCCCTACTCCATTTGCCTTCACGCTCTCCAGCTGGCCTGTCCGACTTCCCCTCCTCATCTGCTGCTCTGCATCAGCCCTGTCCCCATTTGTCAAGGGCTGGGGGGACTCCTTGAAGCCAGCACACCGCGCGCTCGCAGGGACAGCTGCAGAGCAGCGAGCCAGCACTGCAACTGCAGCTCACGGAGCTGTCTGAGCTAGCTTTACACCGACGGGAGACGGTACTGATAACAGCAGAGCTGTGGCAGGTTGGAGCTCACTCCAAAGTCTGGCCAAGAAGCTGAAAAATGCTTCTGCAGGCGGCGTGCCATGAGCTGTGGGCTACTGCTGCTGTACCTCCAGCAGCACAGCTACATACAGGCCCCCACAACGTGCACCTCTGCTTCAGTGTCTGATCCAGGCTCTGCAGAATACAAAAAGGCATTGAATCATCTTCATAAAGGGGCTGAAGGCTGGGTGAGAGCAGAGGGGGACAATGAACAACTTGGTCTTCGTGGTCAGCTCCAGCCAGGAGCTGGCACCACGACAGATCCCCTTCCCCAGCTCGTCCTCCCCCGTCCCAGCAAAGCTCACACCTTGGGACATCGGCACGGACCGAGCAGAGCACGGAGAGCTGTGCACCAAGCCGATGGCTGGAGGTGACCTTCCACAACCCAGCCAGTTTGTGCCCTACTTAGATTAATCCCTGGAAATCCTGGACCGTAACCTCAGGACCTGCCGGCAGCACACTGCTAAAATTAAAGCAAACCTTTTCCAGGGAGGTTTGCAGACCTCAGGTGTGTGGTTTTCTCCTCAGAAGCTTTGCAGTTTAACTGTTTCCAGCCCAGAAAGGCGAGCTGTGGATGGACAGGCATGGGCTGGTCCTGTGGCACCATCCATACCAGCTGGTTGAACCCCGTGAGCTGAAGGCCCCGGCAGTGCCACCTGCAAACGGAGATGATGCCCCTCACCTTCACAAAGCATCTCTTGCACCCCACCTGGAAGCGTGACGAAATATTTAGGATTATTATCCTGAAATACAATTACCATTGAACAAGTTAATGACAGGAGAGACTGAGGCTGTCACCTGGCAATAAGCAGCAATGATTTCGGATACATTATCTCATCCACTTCCCTTTCTGTCCACCCCCAACCTCTCGGCTAGCTGCTCCCAATTAGGGTTTCTGCGTCCCTTCAGCCAGGACAGAGACCATTTTCCTGCCCAGCTGACCTTCAGGCCCTGTCCCCCCCCATGGGGCAGCAGATGCCGTGTTCTCGGGAAGGAAGGGACATCCTCAAAGGGACGAGCTGCATCAAACCGGCAGTCAGACCAGCCACAATTTGGCCCAGGTTCAGCTGACCTCAATTCTGCCTCAACTCCCAGCCTCGCGTGGTCCGTGGGAAGACCCACAGCTTTCAGCAGCATCTGCCAATGGGAAGCATCAGATGGAGACAAAGGTGGAAATTAGGCCGTCTGAATCTGGGCCAGGGCTCGTTGTTCTTGAGATCCCATCCCCTGCTGCAGTCCTGTCCCTGCTGCTGGGACGGGAGGCCACCAGCCCGGCCGCTTGGCATCAGTGCCACCCCTGCGTGCAGGCAGCACGTCCCCCTCCTCTCCCTGCACGTCACAGAAGCCAGGAGAGCTCCAGACCTGCGACTCCAGCTGAAAACCAGAGGCTACAATTCGCAAGCAAACCATTTCCCCAGTCATTACTCAACCGTTTCAAGCAGCACACGCTACTTTTCCTACCACTTTGCCACTTTTCAATCATTTGCAGTAAAGCAAATCAATCATTTACGTGACTTGCAATTTGGTTCAACCTACACAAAGCTAAAAAAGACGAGGGCTCTCCTTGAACGGGGACAGTGCATTACTCGAGCGAGGCTGACAAGAACGGGATCTCTTTGGCTCATCTCCTGCCACTCACTGACAGCGATTTAGAAGGGGCTGTTTGACAGTAATTTCCTCTTTCCATTCTTACACTGCATGACTGCAACACTACCAGTGCAGAAACCAAATTGTTAAAAAAAAAAAAAGACAATCAAACATTTGAGCGAGGTGCCTCCCATTTTGCCATCTGATATTTTGAGTGATTTTGGACTAAAAGCAGTGAAGACCACAGGCTCCAAGGCACGCTTGCAAAAAAAGGGTCTCGAGCATCTTCCCCCTCTTCCCAAGGATGCTGCAAACACACTGCAAGGCCACGACGTGCCTCCTGCTCCTTCTGGTACCCGCAGCACCAAGAAACTGTGTGGATGGGGATGCACAGCCTGTTTTGGGGCAGCTACCTAACCTGCCCAGAGCACACAGACCTGGTCGTGGTTACACACGTGGGGCTGATTTTTGGAGCCCGCCACGTATTCTGCATTTCCTTGCTACAAAGCCTTCCTGGTGCTCTGCTGTTCTCCAGCTCTCACCCCTTGCAATCCTTCACCCAGGCACCAAGCCACCCCGCTGCTGAGCTGCCAGAGGATTGACTTCTCCACGTCTCCTCCCTGGAACAGCCCCAATATCCATGTCAGTCATGATCATACTCAAATTCCACATCAGGCAGCTTCCCTCATCTGCCTGGAAATATTATTTTAGCCTGCTGCCACAAAGAGACAGATTGGTATCAATTTTAGATCAAGCTATTTAAAATACCCTGGTCTCCTTTTTAAATCTTCCTTTCCTGTCTGACTAACTGCAGGCAACACATACACCCTCAAGATGCCTGAACTTTCGGTGCAGAACACGGGTATAAAACCCACTTCCTCTCCTGGTTGCACTTCCAAAAATGAAGGACTCTGCATAAAAACTTAGCCCTTGAGCTGAAACGTTTCCACAGGGAGAAGAGTCTCAACAGGGGACAGAAATGGCTAGGATGACCAGAAAGACCATAACAAAGCGGGAGAGTAAAGCCTGCAAGAGGCCAGCAGGCTGTGGGACAGTGCTGAAGGAGGGCAGGCACTGTTCGAATGCAGATGAGGTGAAGCGTGAGCAGAACCTGAGAAGCTGGTCTGGCACAGAGGAGAGATGTGAGCAACAAATCCCTTCCTTGCATGCCAGAAGTCCTCTTCATCTCAGTATGTGCTTGTGTAGCCCAACACGGCCTTGGTTACTTACAGATACTAATGAACACATGCTCCTCACTGGAAGCAGAGCCCTTCAACAGGACACAAGAGCCCTTAGCATATCTTTTACGATGCATCCGGGGCTGAAAACCCCTTCACCCCACACCGAGCAGTCTCACCAGGCATCCCTCTACCTTGTAACTGCAGAGCTTGTCAGATTAAACCTCGGCCTCTTCAAAAACCCACCCACTGCATTTCCCCTTGGAGACCTGCGCGTCTGCTACCCTGCCGTGTGGCTGCGGTGCCACCTCCTCGGGGCTGCCCCGGGGGGGATGCCGCAGCCCCACCACGCCGCTGGCACCGCCGTACCTGCACAGCGCAGGGGCACGAGGGCGAGGACGGGGACCCTCCTGCTGGCCGTCATGTCTCGTCTGCTGCCTGCTGCCACGGGATTCCCTGGAGGACCGGAGAGAATTGGTGGGAATGAGATGAGTAAAACCACGATGAAGAGAAAGTGCTCTTACCAAACACACACACACACACAAAGCTGGAAGGAGCAGGGGGTGCTTCCGTCACTCGTTTATAAGCTTGGTAGTGAGGCTAAAGAGATTTCACATCCAGCCTTTTTCTTTTCCCTTTTCAGCAAAAACATTCTGGTTCAATCATGACATTCCTCTCACCAGAGTGGAGAGAGAAAGGAGTGCAGCCATCCCAGCTTCTCTTCTGGAAATGCACACAGGGAAGAAAAGCTCTGCACAACACACCTTTACGCACATTCCCAGGCTTCCTTCCCACTCTGCAAAGCAGGGCACCGGGGTCGGTGCCTCTTCTCTTTCCCATCACGTTCGACATGAAGCCAGCTGGAGGGTTCAGCCCCAACTCTTGTGTTAGCTGGAGGAAAACGCAGCTGATTTATGGGAGCGTAGAGTTGCTTCTAGGCCAAACAGCCGGAGCCTCAGCACGGAAATGCCTCGTAAAGCATCAGCCCGGCTTGCTTGCTGCCCTTCTGTTTACGCGGGCAGGAGGCTCTTCCTCTGCGCTCTGCTCTGCTTGGCAGCATCTTGGGAATGCTAAGTCAGGCAAACTGCCTCTAAGGCATGGGAAATGGGCTGCAAACATAAATAGCTTGTGCGTCTTCACCCGCTGCTCACGCGGAGCTCCATGGCACAAACACAGCGAGGGGAGGCACAGCACATCGCCAGCTCCTCCGCAGGCCCCAGGTGAAAGCTGACAGCAGCGACCACGGGCTGAGGGTGGCAGAGCTCCCTGACCTTAGCTAACGCACCCGTACACCCACGGCTTTGCTGGTAAGACCAAACGGGCTGGCTTCACTTCCCGGGAAGTTTTACGCATTCGGTGCACGCAATTTCCATCGCAGCATGGGAAGTCTGGAAAGCCTAAATAATTGGGGTGTCCGTGTGTCTGCGCTGCCTCCCAAGGCACCCACTGTCCTCAGCTCCACGCGTGGGGGCGAGGCCATTTATTTTGCCTGGACACCCCAAGTAGCAGATGACTGCCGGTGCCTTCCTCCTCATTATCGCCTCGGACACACACAGCCGTGATATTTCACGTGTCTCCTGTGCCGTCTTCTCAGGCCCATTGAGCCAACGAGACCTCAGAGTAGACTGAGAGTCAAGGATTTACCAAAGGAAAATTTGTCTGCAGTGAGAGCCCCTAACCTTATGAGATTACCCCGAGCTTCAGGCTGAGAGGGACCCGGGGTTTGTCCAAGAGTGATGGTGAGGAAGAGTTGGAAGATGAACAGAAGAGAAGACAGACAGCAGGTAGAGGTCAGATGCCGCAGAAGCAGAGCCATGGCAGGGCAGAAGCAACAAACTTCCTCAAACCATTAAAAAATAAATAAATAAATGACCACTTCTGCATCTCCTCCTGGTGCCATCCACAGCTCCTTGCACCCAGGCCATATTTCTCAATCCCTTGCCTTGCACTGGGTGTTGCTCTTTCAGTTCCTCGCAGCTCTTTCATCAAAACATTCCTCACAAACCCCCTTTTCCCACTCAGGAGGCACCAAGAAAACACACGGGGGAAATCAGCAAAATGAAATCTAAACAAAAAACGGGGCACTGCAAGCTGAACTTGGGATCACTGACACTTCGCTATTAGTCTTTGCAGCCTCCACCCTTTCTCAAAAGCTCAAAGTTTCCATTTAAGCTGCAAACTCTTTGGGGCAACAACCTCCTCTTTATTCTGCCCGTGACGCATTTATTGGGAAGTGGTTAATATCTGAAGTGGACAGGAACAGAGGCTTCTTGGAGTACACAAGAGCCCAACATCTCCTCGTCTCATAATCCACAAGCAAGCGGGGGAATGGTTGCATGTCAAACGCCAAGAGCAAGATCTTGAGCCGAGCAACCAGCTAACTCGGGGCATGGCAGCTCGCACACACCATCTGGAGCAAATCATAACAGCGTGGGGCTGGGAAGTGCCAACTGGCACAAGCTCAGGCCCGGCCCTGAAAGCCACGAGCGCTGCTCTGTCGGTGAAGACCAGGAGATGGGGGAACTCCCTTGGACTGAGCCGGATGCAGTTGGCAAACGGAGCTGCTGCAACAAGGAGCTGGCGGGGCCGTCCACGTGCTCAGCTCCGTAAGAAATTCTCACAACCCTCCCTGGGACAAGCAGTCCCAGTGCCATGCCTGTGACAGGCTCAGGAGGCAAAAGAAGCAGGATTTGGGCACACAGCACGGGCTGTGTGCAGCCGAGGTTTGAGGCAGCTGAGGACAAGGGATATCACACCAACACAGGGATGTGCACGCCTCCGTGTGCTCCTCCTCAGCCTCAGAGAGGATTCCCAGTTATCCCAGTAACTGCAGCATCTCCAGAGTGGCAGCACTGGGAGACTCTGCCCGGGGAAGGGAAGGGACCTTTCCATCCCAGCCTGATGCTGAGATCCTGGGGCTGTCACCACCGGGGATCTGGCAATAAACAAGCTAGCGTGCGAGGCTTGCGTGGCTGCAGCCAAGCATGAAGACCCCTGAAGGCACATGCATGCTCTTTGTAGGGTGCTTAATGCGTAGGGCTCGTTTGTGGAAGGTCAGCTGTGGAACACAGCAAATTAAGGCGGCTGAAGAGAGCGCCGAAAAGTTTTGCTGCTCTCAGCAAAAGCTTGTCTAATAGGCACAGCTCTGCTTTTCACTAACGAGCATCCTTCCCGACCCACACGTGGCCAGCACTAAACCTCAGCGACTCCATCAGCCTGCCCTAGGACCCGCGGGCCCGTGAGCTCTCCCCAAAAACTCCACAAAGCCCTCTCGAACCAGCCTTCTGTTAGCAAGTTCATCATTTTCTGCTCCCAGAGCAGCTTCATTTTCAGGTGCCACTCAAATCTGGGCAGCGTTTGCACTGTAAATGTCACGTACGTCTGTCTCTCCACCACCACAGCCTCCCCCTTCTCTCCCTGAGCAAACGGAGCCCTGGCCCCGCTGATGTGCAGCAGCTTTGGCCACCTCGCTCCTCTCCCTCCATCTCCTGGGTTCCCTCTGACACAGCACAGCAGCCACCCGTCCTCCCACCCGCAGGCCCGTAGCAGCTCTCGGTTCTGATCCGTGCTGTTCTCTGCCATTACTTTTCCCCCATCCCTTTTCCCCGGCGCTTGGACCAAACAGCTCAGCGCTGACCTGTACCATTTTTTGGTTTTTCCTTCCTAGGAGGGCTGGCAGTCTTGTCGCACTGACCCACCCCACGCAGCTATTTCTGTCGGGCAGAAGCCAGCTCTCCAGGAAACAGACGCTATTTTCCCTTGTGATCTCAGAATTGATGGGAGCTCCATTTCTTCCTGGGCGATATCAACTTTATGAGCTATTTACACAACCTCCTGGCTGTCTTAGCTGGAAAATACGCAGAAGAGAGAAAAATCAAATATTTAAGTAGCAAAAAAAGTCTCCGGCCCGCAGTAAAGCTGCTTTTCCCACCGCAGAGCCTCACCCGTGCGCTGCGAAGGGTGAGCAGGCAATGGCAAGTGCAGCGTGGACCCATTCCAGATCTCAGCATGACAAATGATGCCCTCAGCGTGAGGGCCAGAAGACAATGGTGAACTTGTGACACACTGGATCCTAACCAACTTTGATAGGACAATAGAAAAATTCATAAATAGAAAACGCAGAATTGCTGGAAAAAGCAATTTGTGAGAAAATGTCAGGGGACTCTGAGTGATTTGACCCAAAAGAGAGGAAATTGGTATTGAGAGACGCTTAAGAAAGACCCGGCTGAAGAAGATTGCCCCGGTCTTTTGATACAGCTCCAGCCTCAGCTGAGGCTGGAAAAGCCAAAGCCTGCAGGCAAACTACTCCAAAATTTCATTTTAAGGAAAAACAAAACATAAGCATCCTTATTCCCTTGTCAGCTCTTACACAAGCTCTTAGTTTCCCCAGAGGAGCTACAAGCTTGGTGCTGATGTCATTTTGCCTACAAAGCCAAGATCACAAAAAGTGGATTTGAATCTATCAAGTGGATTTGGATCTATTCAAGAGAAAAAAATAGAATTTGGGAACTTCTGTAAAACTCCAAACCCAAATACATCCCACACACAGAATATTTTCAGCATTTGACTTCTGGTACTCAGAGAAAAATCTCATGCCCGGTTAACATTGGGATGTTCCCAGGTAGAGCAAAGCACACAACTCCATAGGGGAAAAAAAAAAAAAAAAAAAAAAAAAAGGTTATAAATTTATCCTGCACATTAGGTGAAATTTGCCCTACTCTTCAGGTTCAATTTAACAGCCAGGAAAACCTCAAACCCCCCAGACCAAATGCATTAAAGTATTTATCCCTGCCATGGCAACAAAGGAAAAGCTGTGAAACACCTCCAGTCTGAGGCACAGCCACTAGCTGAAGCCAAGCACCAGCTGGGATGAGCTCAGACATTTTGAGTGAGGGAAATAAGGTGAGAAAGGGAAATAAGATGCCGTGCGTGGCTCAGCGAGGTGCTCCAGAGCTGGGGAGTTAAACGCACGCTGCAATACACCTCGTGTTCGCCTCTACGTTAGATCACGAGCCCATAACGCTTGATCTATGGCCTTGTATTCAATTTGCTCGGTTAATTTTGTAGCTTGAAAGGCTATTGAATACCTTGGGGAAAGCAAACTGCACAGACAGAGATAATCTCATCAGATCCTCTGCCTGCTGGCTGCAGTGGAAGCGCTCGCACAGCCAGCCCAGCTGGTCCCAGCACAAAGCGAGCCCACGGCGGGGTTACCAAACCAAACGGCCCTGTTGTATGAAAGCAGACCTCGAAACCTTTGCCCTTCATTCACATCCACCTCATCCTTTTGCTGAGCATCACACCGACTTGTGTGCGCCTCGGGCACCGCGCGTCCCCGAGCTGAGACTCCCACAGGCTGCTTGGGGTGCGCAGGCTCCAGCACCCGTCCAGATGTGCCCTCGAGTCCCCTCCTGCACCCATCCAGATGTGCCCTCGAGTCCCCTCCTGCACCCACC